TCTGATATCTAACCTATTAGTAGATTGTAACGAATAATAAACTAGTAGGCCTCCTAGCAATCAGACGAAGCAATCATAAACATGAACATAGAAGAACATTCGATATTCAAAGTATAAATCAAACAATAAAAATCAAATTAGATCTCACAGTTTTGTTGATTATGAGGATTTTGTTTCCTTTGACCAAGTATCAGAGTTTAGCCATGCATGGTCATGGTGAAAACTCAAGAAAAATCAGAGAAGAGAGGTGCGGCAGCCCTAGTCTGATTGCTTTCTAGATTTTCTTTTTCTTCTTTTCTTTCTCTCTACTTCCCCCAAAGAAGCCTAAAAAATCTCCTAAATTTTCTCTAGATGACAGTCTCCAAGTTTGACTTATCAAGAAAAATATCAAAGATAAGATAAAACAAGGTTTTAATGCAAGTGGGAGAGTGGTGATTTCGCGCATGAAAACTTGCAGGCGAAGGAATGTTTCCAGCACGTTAGCAGTGCAGTTGCAGCTATTTCGGGCCCGATTTCGACCTCGATTCAGTCMGTATCTATCAAAATGCAAAACATGAAATTTGTAGATTTTTTCCTTATCGTTCCAACGCATCTTGAATCATCCCAATCAGAGTTCGGATGAGAAAGTTATGCCCAAATTACGATGCAGTGCCGAAACTATCCAGAATTACCCGATTAGCATTGTTTTTTACTTTACGCYTCCATTTGTGCCCTAAATCAAAATATAAGAATAATGAGTGCATTTGGGCATCAAATAAGTATAAAAGACTAAATATTAAGAGAGAAAAATATGATATTTTTCATTTTCATCATATATCATAATATGGGAGGGCTCGAGTTGGGTTATGCTTAGGGGTGGATTCGAGCCGAGCCGAGCCGAGCCGAATAGCACCAGGCTCAAGACTATTCTACAAGGCTCGAGCTCGGTTTGAGCCAGAACCTTGAGCTCGAGCTCGGCTCGAGTCAAGAGTTCATAAGCTTGAGCTTGGTTCGTTTTATATTTTATAAAAATATTCTATAAAAATATTTTATAAATATTTTATAAATATTTTATTAATAAAAATATTTTATGAAAGTAAAAATTATATATAAATTTTGTTTATTTTATATTTAAAAAATTAAGAATTATAATATTTTTATTATATATATTATTTTCTATAATTTTATTATATATATTAAATATAAAATATATATATTCGAGCCGGCTTGCGAGCCTCATGAGCCGAGCTCTACTTGGCTCGAGCTCAGCTCATTTAACAATCGAGCCAATGATTGGGCTCAAGCTCGAGCTCGAGCTCGGCTGAAACCGAGCCAAGCTCGAACAGCTCGTGAAAAACTCGGCTTGTTGCCACCCCTAGTTATGCCAAACTTGGGTTACCCAAGTCCAACCCATTAGGTCAGGCCCGAATTTTTTGGCTCGGCCCAACCTGAAGCCTAAAAAGTCAAGAAGCCTAAAAAGTCAAGCCTAGCACATTCAAAGACTCAAGTTGGATTAGATTGGGCACAGGTTAGGCCCACCCAAGTTGCACCCCTAATAATTTGTATAGCATGGATTTGTTGAATGGCAGTTGGGTCAGATTGGGCACAGGTTAGGCCCACCCAAGTTATACCTCTAATAATTTGTATAGCATGGATTTGTTCAATGGACATAATAGGTGGATGAAGTTGTTTCTACCAAAAAAAATGATAAAAGACTTAAACCTTCCTTGAGTTTCTTATCAAATACAAAAACATTCTCTCCTTTTTCAAGTTGAATTAAGACCTCTCCTAGTGGATGATGTCAATAGACAAAAAAAAAAAATCCCCTTTATTAGCATTTCACCCAAATTAATATAAAAGTTTGGGGGGAGGGGGGGGGGAATGTCATACCCCAAAGTAAAGGATGCTAATTTGTATATCCTTTATTTTTTAATGGGAAAATTATACATTTAAATTTAGGCTACAAATTAGTCCAGAAACCAACAAAGCTCTGATAACTGACTCTATATTTCAAATTATAAAAACCCCCACCATGCCATTAGAGGCTTATGTGGTTGTTGCCAACATGGGACTCTTAATCCATATTGGACACAACAAAAAGCTTATACTAAAATTGCCCATGAGTTTTAAGTCTCTCTCTCTCTCTCTCTCTCTCAACAATTGTGTCATTTGAAAATAAATAAAAATGGTTTTTAGTTTCTATATTTACGTTCTCCCTATCAATGTCCCTCATTCTCTCTCTATACAATCTCTTTCATTCTCTTTCTCGGCCGATCTCTCCTTCACCCTCAATCTCCTTCGTTCTCCCTTAGCCTCTCTCCCGCTCCCTCTTTTGTTCTTTTTTTTTTATTTTCTTATACACTTATATGATATTAAGTAGGTCGTATAAAAAAATATGAAACCAACTTAGTATGGTTCTAAAATCTTTACACCAAACTCTTGGCTATAAAATTTACACCAACTTGATAGAAATCCATAACTTGATTGTAATGATTTTAGAACTATATCATGTTGGTCTTATACTCTTTTAGATGGTCTGATTAATACCGTATAGGTTTGTAAGAAAAATAAAAAAGGGCAAATTTTTTAAACTATCCCTGCTATTTAGTTAATTGACTAATTCCACCCTTACTATTTAACTATTGTCTTAAACCACCCCTACTGTTTCTAACAACTAACTAGCTCTACCCCTGTCATTAGCATCCTTAATGTTCCATCAAAATCCGTGCACACGTGACACTACGTAACATATAAATTTTCTTTAAAACTCAATATTACCCTTCTTCCCTCTTCCTCTCCCTTCTTCTTCTTCACCGTCCCTCTCCCTGGCGGTAGTCAACGGTGCAATTGTTCCACTCCCCCTCTTTTACTATGGTCAAGCTGAAGAACTGTTGCAAATTCTTATTTTTTTTATTAATTCTCTATTTTTTATATGACAACATTCAATCAGAATTTTGCGAGTCAAAGGCTGGATACTGAGCTCCTAGATATCATACTTACAAACGTGTACCTCTTATTCTTCTTCATTAGGTAGTTGTCTTTATAATTAAATCATAGTGTCATCACATTAGCATGGGCTACGACAAGAAAGAATCTCAATCAATCTAAAATAGAAAAGGAAAAAAAGAAGAAAAAACAAGTTTGCAAGTTTCCTGTGTTCTTTTAATCTAGAAGAGGTACAAACCAGTTGCCATAGCTTGTAGCCCATATTAGAACCCTAGCCTAGGGGTGTTTCGAACTCACCAAAAAATGATTGTTTTAGTAAGTCATTGCTGCTAGTTAGGTGTGTGTGTGTGAGAGAGAGAGAGAGAGCGAGAACCACCAGAAAATGACTATTTCAACATGTCACCGTCGCTAGTTAGGTAAGAGAGCGAGAGCCACGGGAGTGGGGTTGGGTTGCGGGCTGTTTGAGGCGGCATCCATAAGAACCCTGGCGTAGGGGCATTGGATTAGAAGCTCCACCATTTCGAACTCGTAGGAAAACGATTGTTTTAGTAGGTTGTTGCCACTAGTTAGGTGAGAGAGAGAGACAAC